GGAAAAAGGGCAGTGAAGCCGTGGTTGTAGCAGCTGACTTCAAAGAATCTATGGGGTCAAGGCAACAGCAGCCAACTGGGTGCGACTGGCTGCGCCCTAGAACCACAACCAAAGAAAGAAGATGGAGGGCAGGAAATCAAGGAGATTCTTGAAGGAACTTCCCCAGAGGAATCTGAACCACACCCAGTACCCTCATCGTGACAAATACTGTCAAAGATCTGTAAGTGGGCTCAGCTGAATTTCCGGAGAGCCCCCTCCTACCGAATGGGGACAGCATCCTCACTCCAGCTCCAGGCGCTCCCTGAATCCAGGCCTGCGGTGCCTCCACGGCACGTGTGTGCTCCTCCCCAGTCGCAGCATGTATATCCCAAGATGAACAAGCATTGGAGCAGCAGATAGCTCCTGGGGGGCTTCCCCCCTACTTCCTGGTGGCAGAGGGGAGCAGCTGTCACCCAGGTAAGCTGGGGACTGCTTAAATCCCCAGGGAGTTGTTAAAGTTTGTAACAGCGACCTCACTTCCTGCCCAGAATGAATGTTGGCCTTGACCTCTGAATTTGGAGAACCACCCCCTCCCCTGAGATGTATGAAAGTGGAGCAAACTCATGTGTGGTCAGTACAACCAATCAACATGCAGTCCTCAAGCACATCCCAAGTACCCAGAAATGTCCAACACACCGGGTATGCTAGGGGCTATGGCAAGGGGTGGATAGAGAAATGAGGAAGACACTAACCTACCCTGCCAGAGCCTGCAGTTTGGCAGAAGAGGCCCACCACGTATTGTCTAATAACTATGATATTGTATGTGGTACGTGGTAACCTGAGAGGGGTACAAAGTGGAGCTGAGTGAGGACGGGTCATTCCCAACTCACAGGAATTGTGGTCAGAACACACAAAATATATACAAGGTCATTTTAAGAGGGGGTCCCAAGTAGCTGAGGGCATCAAGAAAGTTCAAATTCTGGGTTCAAATTCTTGGGTTCAAATTCTGACTCAGACACTTAACCTCCCTCAGCTTCGGTTTCCTGAGGTGTAAAACAGAAAAATTTGCCTTACTTAGGTTGTTTTAAGCTCCAATGAGATCATGCATATAAAGTGCTATACAAATGTTATGATTGCATAATCAGCTTCATCTTTTATGATGTTGTTCAGTGTTTGGGGAAGAGGGACAGGGACTTTTTGCTGTGAGAATAGGAAAACAGGGCTGAGGGCACCAGCTTGATTTCCTGACCCCTCGCTCCCTTCCCCCATTCCCCCCTTGTCCTCATCCTTGTCCTTTAAGGCTAGAGGGCAATTTTCTGGCCTGGATGCTAATTGTCAGGAGGGATGATTGGAGTGAAAAGAGTAACTGAAGACTGGTGTAAGTATTTATCTCCAGTCCCTACTAAAGCTCAGAGAAAACTATAGGGTATATAGCCTGAACTCTGGGTAGGAAAGTGAAAGGAATTTACTTGCCCTGATATAACTAGGAATAAGAACTAGGGCCCTTCTATGGGCTGGTAGTGGTGAGAAGAAGCCACTCTCTGGCCTATCAGCTGGATGTGATGAGGCCTCTTTAACAAAGGTGCTGGGGAAAAAGTGTTGACTATTCCCTCACATTTGATGGTCTTATAAGAAAGGTGATAAACCTGCCCAAGAAAGATCCCTAGGCCTCATTCCTAGTTAGGTGGGGGCATGTGAATTTCTTTTACTGTCTCCCCAGCAGAATGTAGGCCTTCTGTGTATGCCACAGAACAGGAAAATTGATACCTTCCTCTGAGTCTTTCTGGGGCTAGAAACAGAAGACACATAGCATATGCCATTTCAACTCTCATGATACCTCTAGAAACTAGAATCTAGTGAAGGCAAATTGCCCTAAAGAATTCTTTAGAACTGTCAAACTCTCAAAGAGGCATTTAGCAACCCTGAAGATGTAGGAAGGCTGGAACGTAGAAACTGAGTTGGTGCCCTTTGACCTTTGCCCCAAGTATCCACAAAACCCTCTGCCCACCCAACCTTTTCCATGTCAGCTTCTTCAAACTCCCTCCTTGAACAAAGTATCCATGATATACAGGTGAGAATCTTCAGAATAAGCTACTAGCTTTTGTTCCTTTATTTTCTTAATGCTTAGCCATATATTTTTGGCTTGTGCCCATCTCTGATTGAAATCACAAAGTATCAAAGATGCTGATTTAACAGGGGCAAATCACAAATATAAAAAACATTTTTAAACTTTAGAATAAGCAGTGGCCAAAGTGTCATCTGAATAACTGCATATAAGCAGAGTTTAGCATCATCCTGAGCCTTTCTATGGGCAGGTTGCGCCCTCATGCCTAGAATACACTCCATTCTTATGTAGATACTTATAGGGATACACATTGTCTCTCCTGATATCCCATAAGCAACTTGAGGCGGGGGTGGTTTCATTTTTGTCTGTATCCAGTAGGGAGCACAGTGTTTGACACCTAGTTTGGCACTTAATAAATGCATGAATGCTTGATCCTAGGATTGAGCTGAGGAGAAGGACCATGAGGAGTCAATCAACAAGGATTTATTCAATACTCATTTATTATGCATCTACTGGACTAAGTGCTTTGGGAAATGCAGTGTTTAGGTATGACATTATCTCCACCTTCACAGACTTGAAAATCTTACATGGAGATCTGACAGAAATGGAAAATACATGTGATGCCAAACCTCAGAGAACAGGTAAAACCAAAAACCAGGCGCATTTTCAGCGCAGTTTGACCTTTACCCAACTTAGAAAAGAAAGACAGCACAACACAAGGCCTGATGCTAGGAGCGTCTTTCATTGGCCCCACTTCTGAACTCCTAAGAAGCTTTAGTCCTGCAGCAGATAGGGACAGGTGTGTAACTAGTATTCCTGGAGTTACAGAAATAGGAAGAGTCAGTGGCTGAGATTACGTAGAAATGACACGTGGACCACTGTACATGTGAGACTGAGTCAGAAACCTGGGCTGAGCGATTTCTGCCTACAGGCCACATCCTTTATTGATCCAATCTCCATAGGCAGCTTTAGGCTGGGGAGCTCTGCTCTTCTTTGGGCTCTCTCTCTCTGAGAGCTAACACCTCTATTTCAGGTGTTCCTGGCAAAGGCCACATCCAGGAAAGCAGTGGTAGCATCTCCTCCACAGAGAAGCCAGGGATCAACAGGTCTAGGTGGGAACCTATTAAACCGGCGACTCTATTTTCAGGACCCTGACACTCCCAAAGTGTCAATAGATTCTGGCTCAGAGTTCAGAACTGTTCAACATATTTGTGATTGAAAGATGTTTGGAAAGCTTCTTAAAAGAGTAAAAATGTAAAAACGTTTTGACTGTGGAGGTCTGGCTCACCTAGCTATGAATGTTGCATCTGGTGCTAAGGAATTCCTGGGTTGTCTGATCAAGAAGTATCACAATAAATACTGAGCATATAATTCAGGACAGCTGACAGCACAGGGAAAACGAGGAACTCAAAGTAAATCCCTCTCAGCAGCTGGATGGATCACTGGCAGCACATCTTCTGGCTGGCTGGGGCTAGCACATTAATGAGAAAGGAACTCACATTTGCTCAGAGGCCAAAAGCTACGTGGGTCACTTGTGGCACTAGCTGTGCCACTAGCTTGAAAATCCTATATGGAGATCTGAAGGTGCTGATAATGTCATACCTAAACACTACATTTCCCACAAGCCACACTAGCTTGTGAAGAAGAAATAGTGAGCACTTATGGAGCGCCTTACAAACATAATCTTATTTGATCCTTACGGCAACCCTTGGAGGGAGGCGCTGTTAGCCTTCCCATTTTATGGACGAGGAAACTGAGGTAGGCAGAGGCTAAGTGACTTGTCCAAAGTCACAAAGCTAGGATGTATCTACGGTCACACCTGAACTCAGGTCTTCCTGAGGTCTTTGGCTCTATCTGGAGGACATGTTGGATGTTACACTAAAAAGAGCCCTAGGCTAGGTAACAAGTTGTAGTCCAAGCTGCCGCTAACTTACTAGGTCAGCTTTGGCAAATCCCTTAGAGTCATTAATCTTCAATCTCTTCATCTGTAAAATGGGTAATACTGCCTTGCTTCACAGAGTAGTTCACAAAATCAAATGAGATCATACATGGGAAAGTCTTCATTTTGAAAGCACCAGACTGTGTAGAGAGGTAATAGGAGAGACAGTTTGGTGTAATGGGGCAAGGCCTAGAATTGGAGCCTGAGGACTTAGGTTAGAGATTGACACTTCTCTACATCCCAGCTTACAAAATGTGGCGGGGGGCGGGGGGGAGTCTGGGGCCCTTTCCAGCTCTAAATCTATGATCCTATTTTTACAAAGTTGGGGGGCTGAGGTCTTTTCGTTTCATTTAAAGCTGGAGAACTTTGTGACTCACATGCAGCAGATGCTCCACAAATACAGGTGAATGAATGACGTGGGAAAAAGAAACTGACCACAGTCAATATGCACAAGAAAAGGCTTGCGTCCGAAGCCAGCGTGTTCTGCAGTGTGTTCACCTATTCTGTGGTCTCGTGCTGAAATATCTGGCTCTACTTCCGACAAGGAGTACTAGAGAAGACGGTTGCATAAGCTCCCTCTAAATAAATTTCCAATGAAGGACCTTTCCTGATATTCTTCTACCTCCAAGTTTGTTTATGAGGTCAACTCAAAAGAGACCATCATGTGTATACACACACACATTCCTGTTTTCCCTGCTTTAAAGTGCATTTGTGCATTTTTTTATCCCAGAATCTTAAGGTGCTTTGCAAATCCTGGTTTTATTCTCTTCATACCACCTCTGTGACGTAGACATTAATCCTATTCCATTGAGAGAATCACGAAATTCAGCAGTTAGTGAACTAACCCACAAGGGAATTCAGTGGCTCAGTCTGGGAAGAATTTTATTGACACCCTCTATCACTGCATCTCAAAAGACATGGGAAATAGCCAACAAAGCTCAATAAACATGCTATCTATAGCTATACAAAAGTGCTTTTCGGCTTCAGATCTCTATGAACAAATCTGAGAAGACTTACCTCCATTCTTGCCCACCGTTCGGAAGCATCTCCAGAAAGCCCGTAAGAAGGATGCTCTGTTATGGGGGGTGGCCTGGATGAAGCTAAACTCTCGGAAGAGAATATGAGTCCCCTGACACACGCTGTTAAAGCTGCAAAGATAAAAACCAAGAAGTCACTGTTTGATGGCTCTTCCAGAAGGCGGGAAGCAAAATGGAAAACAGAGGCCACTCAGAAGAGTTGCCACAAAACGGGAGAAGTAGCCCGTTTGCCTCACATTTCTAAGATGCAGCCCCACTTGGGTCCATCCCCTGGCTCCCCAGAGGGAAATCTAGGTACATAAGCACATCCCTCTACCAAACTCTGGAATCCAGCTGGTCTTAGCCCCCTACTCCACCTCAGGAAGTTCTAACCAGTCACTAGAGAGTTTTATAGAGACAGAAAACAATCCATCCTTAACTGGACGATACTGGAGGTTGTCTGTTGTTAGAGAATACCTCTCTCTCTACCTCATCAGGATTTACATTTCCTTAAAGATATTCTCTCTGGGCTCTTCCCCAACACATACCAGCTGCCACAAGAAAAAACACAGTTGCTCATAGGTGACATCTATAGATCTGTCCATTTCAGTTTGGAGTGTGGAGCAACAGGGGATCTGTCATATACCTCTGACAACACGCCCAGGAAGGAATACCTCCCATCCATCTAAAGGAGAGACAAATGGTTCCATGAGGAGATTGGTGGAGAGAAATGAGGATCCATGGTAAAGGAAGGGGTAAAAAGTGGCCCCTAAAATGAGAGGATGAGGCAAAGCCCAAGGGCTCAAGTGAGTCATTACTTAAGTTGGGCCCCAGGAAGGGAGGAAAATATGCTGTAGTCTTTGGGTTCTCTTGCCAAAGCGGGGGGAAAAGGCTGGGAAGCACTGGAGCTATCTCAAAATGCAAATTCCACTAGAAAGAAGACAATAGTAACTCAGGAATGGACATGCTCAAGAACAGGCTCCAGGTCCCATAAAATTCTTAAACCACTGGCAAAGTCCAGGTAGAGGACATGTTTATTTTTAGAGAGAGACAGATATCAGGCTGAAGACAGTCGCCAATGGAGCAATGGGGAATGCATCAGGTCAGGGGATTTAGAGCTTAAAGGAGCTTTAGTTCAGACCCCTTGTTTTTCTGATCAGGAAACTGAGGTCCAGAGAAAGAAGGTAATTTTGGAGCAGCGGCCACACAAAGAATTAACAGCAATCAAAGCTGGTTTCTCTACCTTCAAATCCACTTCTCGTCCAGCTGCACAGCTGCCAACAGTTTGGGACATGAATTCCAAACGGCAGCTCTCGCTGGTATCCCACGTCAATTTAAGAACAAAACCAAACTTGAGCTGGAGAACCAGAAGAGGCTTTGCAGGACATCTCTTGTTCCCTTCAGCCTCAACTACATGGAAGATGCCCATTCTCATATCTAAAAGAGAAGACAACGGCTGTCCTTCACGCAGACGATAGGAGCTGGAGCCAGAGTCATGTCAGTGTGTAGGCTCAGGTTTGGAACAATGTTGTGAATACCGTGTGAGCTCCACAAACACAGTCACAGCCAACTACACTGTGTGCAAAAGCTGCTGCAAACTCTTCTTCTCCCATGCAAAACTGGCAGAGAACTCTTAATTCTATGACAATGTGAAGAAAACGGAAGCGCAATGGGTGAAGGCCAAGAAGTAGGTTAGAAAAAGGATTTAAAGAAAAGAGCAATAGGAGCAAAGATGCAGTTCCATGCAGCATGGATCAACACTATTGTCTTAAAAAAAGGAGAATGAACTTTAGCATCCTGGAGACTCTTTTCATCGGTCCAAAGCCACTTTGGGATCCATCCTTCATTGCCCCTCTTTGAGGGCAGTTGATGCCTAGAGGTGCCTTTCAGATATTAAGTTGGTTGGTGAGGTCCCATGCACCTCTATTGGTCTCTTTTGGACAACTCTCTATTTTCTTCCTCATTGGAATTATTTCTCCTTATGTCTTTAGAATTACGTTTCTGCAAGCTTCCCATCCCTGCTGTACAATTTAGACGGGACCCTCCCCAGCCTCTGCAACTACCTTTCAGGGCTGGGCAACACTAAGTAGTAGATGTGATCAAGCACAAGACAGACTCCTCAGCCAACTGAGGAGCACATTTACCCAGTCTCCGGCTTACATCACAGCAACCAGTCGACTTTTATTCAACGTTGCTATGTACATAGGTGCCACACGCTGTGCAATCACCTAAAGCTGAAATTTCCCAGGTTTTCAATAAACTTTGCTCCCTAAATCACTGGCTAATAGTAACAACGGCTCACATTAAAATGGCTCATCGCGTGCTCTTTTCCTCACAAGTTGTTGGGAGGCAGGTGATACCTATTTTACAGATGATGAAACTGAGGTTCAGGGCACAGAAGTGACTTGCCCATCATGATCCGGCCAAGGGTGCACGTCCAGGGCACTCTCCTCTACTCTCCTGCCTCAGACAGAGAGTTGTTCGCTATGGGAAGCTGCTGCCACCGTCATGGGCCCCCATGGGCAGATTTTTCCAAATTCAAGTTTTGTAGCAACAGTCAAACTTCACAAGTTCTTTCAATTCTTCAGGCTTTTTTCTCTCCTTTCTCCATGGGTAAATTTACAGCAGAATGCTGAATTATAGATTAATGTCATATGGGAGAAATCCAATACATCTCCCAAGGGGCACCCTGTTCACAAGGAAGGTAGAGACACTAACTTTGTTTCTTTGTGATTTAAGTTTTCCTTTGTCACTTAACATATTAAATTTATTTTAAAAATCAGCTTTAAAAGAGACAGTCTTTTAAAGTTGATTTTGAAAAGAAATTAAAATAAAGAGCTCACTAATTCTTTGTTTTGTCATGTTAGTCAGTAAATAAACATTTATTAAGTATGTACCATGTTCCAGGCACTGTTCTAAGCACTAGGCATATGAAAAGAGGCAAAAGGCAATCTCATGAAGGAGAAAGCAACCAAATAGATATGTACAAACAAACTCTACACAGGAGAAATAGGAAATAGTCAAAAGAAGAAAGGCACCAGAATTAAGAGGGTTTGGGAAAGGCTTCCTCTAGAAGATGGGATTTTAGTTGGGACTTGAAGGAAGCCAGGGAAGTCAGGAGACAGAGATGGGAAGCAGAGACTTCTGGAAGTGAAGAACAGCCAGAGAAAATACCCAGAGGGAAGAAATGGAGTGTCCCGTGGCAGGAACAGCAAGGCAGACAGTGTCAGGGAGTGAGGTGGGACAAAGGGTTACATTATAAAGACCTTGCAACACCAAGCAGAGAATTTTGTACTTGTTCCCAGAGGTGATAGGGAGCCATTAGAGTTTATTGAGGAGGGAAGCGACATGACTGGACCTGTGCTTTAGGAAAATCACTTTGACAACCAAATGGGGGACTGATTGCAATGGAGAGAGACTAGAGGCAGGCAGACCTCCCAGGGGGCTATTACAATAGTCCAGGTGTGAGGTGACCGGGGCCTGTACATCAGGGTGGTGGCAGTGTCAGAGGAGAGAAAGGGGTACATTTGAGAAATGTCAGAAAGGTGAAATTGACAAGCCTTGGCAGCAGCTTACAAATTGGGAGTGAGAGAGGGTGAGGGGTCCAAGGCGACTCCTAGGTTGTGAGCCCGAGGCATGGGGAGGATGCTCTTGCCCTCCACAGCAATAGGGAAGTTAGTGGAGGGGCACAGGGGTGGAGGGTGGTTTGGAGGAAAGATGATTAATTTAGTTTTGTACATGTTGAGTTGAAAATGTCTACTGGACATCCAGTTTAAGAAAGACAATTGGAGATGTGAGAGTGGAGATCAGCTAAGAGGCTAGGGCAGGCTAGGTAGATTTGAAAATTATTAGCAGAGGGATGGTAATTAGATCCATATCATCTCATCAGGTCACCAAGTGAATAGTATAGAAGGAGAAGGGAAGAGGGTCCAGGACAGAACCCTGTGAGATACCTTTGGTTAGAGAATCCAGCTACGGAGATTGAGAAGGAGAAGTCTGATAGGTAGGAGGAGAACCAGGGGACAGTGGTATCTGAAAACCTAGAGAGAAGAGAGTATCAAGAAGGAAGAGTTGATCAGCAATGTCACAGACTGCAGAGAGATTGAGGACAATGAGGACTGAGAAAAAGGCTATTGGATTGGACAACTGGTCAAATGTGATCACTGGTAACTTTGCAGAGATGATAAGGTTGGAAGTCAGATTTTAAGAGGCAGAGAAGTAAGTGAGAAGAAAGGCATCTACTCTAGTCTTTTTTTTTTTTTTGAGGCAATTGGGGCTAAGTGACTTGCCCAGGGTCACACAGGCCAGATTTGAATTCACGTCTTCTTGACTCCAGGGCTGATGCTTTATCTACTGCACCACCTAGCTGCCCCACTGATAGTCTTTTCAAAGAATTTGGCCACGAAGGACAGAAGAAATATAGGATGATAGCAGGGACAGAAGTAATCAAGGGAGGATTTTTTGAAGAATGGGGGAGACCCATGTTTATAGGCATTGAAGAAGAAGCCAGAAGAGAGGGAGAGATTGAAGATAAGTAATAGAGTGAAGGAGCAATCTGTTGGAAGAGATAAAATAGAAATGAGATCAATTGTAGAGGTGGAAGGGTTGGCCTTGCTAAGGAGGAAGACAGGGGTGAAGGAGAAGATAGTGGTAGAAAGCATATGAATGACATGCTATGAGGAATTGGGGAGAAGAGGGAGCTCATAGCAAGAGGCTTCAATTTTTTTATGTAAAATGTAAGCCCAGGTTCTTAGCTGAGGGGGGAAAGGGGAGCCATAGGAAGTTTGAGAAAGGATGAAAAGGTTTGGAAGAGCTGCTGTGGAGAGTGAGATAGTAAGTGGCTAAGGGAAATATAGTAGGACTGCCTTGTGGCAGTGAGGGCCCAGATGAGGTTGTGTACCATGAATTCATAGTGGACCCTGTTAGAATGGTTGCATGACTTTCTCCACCTACTTTTAGCAGCACATGTGTAGGAGACAAGGCAGCAGATGGTGGGACTGATCCAAGGCTGAGGCTTGGCAATGGGCAATTGGTGATGTGATAAGAGGGCCAGGGACTCAATAGAACAGAATAATGTAGAGTTGAACTGGTTCACCAAGAGGTCAGGATGGGGAAAAGAGGAGAGAATACCT